CGGAGGTTAGGGGGCTCGTGTTTTTGTTTTTGGTCGTGTAAAAAAAAGTCCCATTTACTTGTAGTTCTGTGATGTGGGTGGTGGGTCTCCTTTTGGATCTACGTGCTTTGTATCAGAGTGGAGATTTATGTGCTTTGTATCAGAGTGGAGATTTATGCGCAAACTCAGTTTCCAAACACAAAGAGACCTCTAGTTTGCGGTTGTTAATTTCTAAAAGGAGTCAGTTAACATTGTTTGATTGACAAAGGAAGTTAAATTCAAAAAGATAACCAGTCCTAACCTCCAGTTAAATTCCATTTATTTCTGGTCACATTTTCTATTCATTCAGGTGTTCCTTAAAAATCTAATCTAATATTTCGTCATGAGCATCATGGGACACTTATTAATAGCAGAGTTAATACAGAAAGATAGACTGTCGTAAGTAGGATTTTCTTTGTCCACACCATCTAAGTGGACTTATCCTGGACAGTTCTGCCAACAACAAGAGTTCTACAGTTACTATTAGTTATATTGTTGGTCTAGAAGCTTCGGTGCGCAAACTGATGTGAAGCAAGGCAGCCGTGATCTCCATTCTTCTGAAACTCAGGCCTATTATTGTTGTCTTCAAACCGTTGGGTTGAGGGGGGGCATTATTAAGACATGGGTCGACATTTGGGTAAACTTCATATCTGGCAGAAGTGGCAGAGACATTGATGAGGGAGGGAACTGATTGGCATTAATTGTTAAGGTGGTAGTGGTTTTGATTAGTCATATATACATGCTTACCTGATTAGTCTTCGTGGTCCCGGCGATGGTCGTGATGTCAAGGATGCTATGTCGACGCTTCTGCCTCTCGTTCGACTGGCGACTGAAGTACTTCTGTGCATGGCTAGCGACTTGGGTTGGTGTCCTCGTGCGCACAAAGTTTTTCGCTATATGCTTCCAGGCTCCTCTCCCATGAACTTCTAGGCCCATCAAGAATAGCCTGGAAGAGAGGAAAACGCATTTTCGGAATAATGATGCTGAGAGAACACGTACAAGTGGATTGTGAGATATTCCTAAACTGATCTATGAAGATATGTACTTTCACTTTCACAACACTATATGTATGTATATCTTAACTATTTGAGCCTCTGCATGTGTCAATTTTCATTTAGCGATGACCTCAATTCAAAGTGAAGTTCAAACATTGATGAACCCTATTCCTGTTATAAGCAACCCACATCCCCATAACTATTCCTCACACAAGGATTACTTTAGATCGATATGCACGAAAAGGATGAAATGGGGGAACCTCAAATTTACTCAACGAGAACATGTTCAATTTGTCTTAAGCTGTAAATATTTGGTACTTCTTATATCTATGTAGGTATAGATAATTGGCACTCGTGCTTCGAGATCTAACTCTTCCCAATTCTCATCAGACATATCTTTGTGCTTCTTTTCTTTTCCTGCCAAAGCCTTGTGCAGTTTCTGCGAAATCGACGAATTTTTTATGTGTATCCTCCAATGAGAAAAATTATTCTTCCCATTAAACTTTTCAATCTCATACATTCTAACTTTAACTGTTTTACTGGTAAACGTCATTCTCCGCTTATTTTAGTAAATCCGTTTCTTTCAGGAATTTCAACAAACACCTTGTATGCACCACACAATAACCAAGCACTACCTTAAATTGGAAGTTTTACCACCCCAATCTGAACAAGGGTTCTGATACCAATTGTTGGGGCGCCGACACGCCCACTCATCGCAAAAATAAATCACCTCTAGAGAAAGCCCTGTCTTTTATTTTTCATAAAATTCAAACCAACCTCGATGTTCCTGTTTCGATATGAAACAAGAACATAAATGAATATCTCAACGAGGTAAGATATACACTTTTCCCGATATCAAATCTAGATCTGAATATTGAGGGAACCAACACAAGAAATCGTCAATACACAGAGAACAATAAAGAAGACACGAGATTTACGTGGTTCGGCAAACTTGCATACGTCCACAGGGAAGGGGAGAAAAGGGAGATTCCACTATGATGGAGAACACCGACGACTTGCACAACCCACAAGCTCGTCTAAAAAACGAGGCTTTGATTTTACCCAAAAGAAGATGACCTCTTTTTTGTACAATCTCTCCAAGCACTCTCTCTTTTCTCTTCTCAAGATCACACATTTTTCAGATCTGAAAAACTCTCTTTTTTTTTCGTTGATGACAGCCACCATACTCTGCAAAAAACCCTGGGAACGAAGTTCCTATTTATTAACAAGAAAACAAGGTCCAAAACGAAAACAACCCGCCTGCTCCGGTTGCGCTCGAGACACCCTTCTCGTGCGCCGAGACACCCTGAGCGCTCACAGTGTAAGATTGTCACAATAATCTTTCACGCAAGTTTGTGGCAGCTATTTTCATCCATCAAACCGAAGAGTCACCAGACCTTAATTGGTTCTTTCCTGTTGCTATGTTGTCAATCTAATTGTTGCTATCGTATGTGCTATTCAATCATTTACAGTTGCTTTGTTAAGAAACTGCGAGTTTTATATGCAGGGGAAAGGAAATAAGAAAGCCTACTGATATTTTGACAAATAAAAAATTCTGCATGAGACATGCTGAATTTTCCAATCACGATAATCTATGCAAGATTCACAATGCGAGACCAGCCGAGCAAAACGTGCGAGTCCAAGCTGATGCTGAAACTGTGAGCGGCTAAGCCTCGTCTCATGAAGAAGATTCACGGTATGAGACCGCCATGAGTACTGAAGTGACAATAAATTTGTTTGTCTTTGTGCTAGAAGTCTAAAGTTGAAAAATATGCAGTTACAGATTTGAGGTGCTGATTGGTTCACCCACTGTTCTTCAATTCTAGGGCTCTTGTTTTGGTGTAAAAGTTCAGTTTGGCTGTCGCGTTCGCTTTACATTTGAGCAGCTGTAGTCTCTTGCTTTCCGTTCTGAAACGAAGGTGGACCCAGTGGGATTTAATGTCTTCCGTCTAAGTGGACGCATCCTGGGACACTTCGGTGATGACAAGAGTTCTGCCAGTTATATTGTTGGTCTAGGCTTCTGTATCCGACCTGATGTCGGGCAGGTCAGTCATGATCTCCACCTCCTGAAGTCAGTGCATATTGTTGTTGTTCCAAACTGTCTGGTTGCGGAAGTTGGGAATTTGTTTTGGGGGTGTTTGGGTTGGGGTGCTCATTGCTCGCCATTTGTGTGAACTCCATCTGTGGCAGAGGCGGCAAAGGCATAGATGACGGACTGGACCGCTTGGCATTGTTAAGGTTGACCTGGCTACTGCTCTTGATTGAGTCATACATGCTTTCTCGACGAGTCTTTGCGGTCGTGTTGATGGTCTTGATGTCGAGGATGCTTGGACGACGCTTCTGCCTCTCGTCCAACTGCCGATTAAAGTACTTCTGTGCGTGGCTTGCGACCTGACTCGGCGTCCTTGTGTGCACAAAATTTTTGGCTATGCTCTTCCAAGCTCCTCTTCCATGAACCTTTAAGCCCATCAAGAATAACCTGGAACAGAGGGGAAAACGTATTTTCGGAATAATATTATGGGGAGAATTCAGGAAACTGCAGACATGAGAATTATGATCTATGAAATTTATGTACTTACAGTTTCACAAGTAAAACATGAAGGTCATTGTTCACACTATCCATGATTTATATGTGATCCAAATAAAAGATCAGATTATCTTAATCTATTATGTCCTGGCATTAGGCGTACAAAGTGGATGAGGTTGAAATTGTAGTATATAACAGAGTTTGTAAATAGAATAATCCACATCGAAGCACGCCGACATATTGATGCCTTTGATACCTTTATTTGCATTGCGAATGCGTAACAAATCAGTAAAAGTGTTGCTGTTCTTATTGGCTGAAGGCATGTTCTTGTTTGAAATTGGATAATATGATTCTGTCTATAAACTATCAGAACTCGACTTTGTTATTAATCCAGGTTAATTACGTGTAGACATGCTCCAGGTTTTTTGTTATGAAAGCAAACCGGGAACATGGTGGACATACTTTACTCATTTTGCTAATACGTTATTGAGAAGGAATAACTCTCGACATATGCCCTTCTTACCTTTATATGGTGTTTGCGTGTGTGCGTGTGCGCGCTAATTGAAAACTGTGACTTCAGAATAGAAGATGGTTGAAGGGTATTATACCAGCGAAAAAGCTCAGGTGAAGTCATCTTAGGTGAGGATGCGGAGGTGGTTTTTGGTTGGTGTTGTTGATGGGAGTGCGCGCGCGCTCCTGTGGCGTGTTAAATTGGGAGAGCAATTTACCTATGACGGTGCTTTTAGTTAAGAAAAACTAGGCGATGCTTGATTAGAACGTGCAATATTCCCGATCTATAGTTCCCAGGAATTCTAGGAAGCGCTTATGTACTAGAATCAGTCGAACCTGTGCTCCTCTTCGCTCCATACATTCTTCTTCCTGGTTGTAAATGTTCCTGGCCCTTCAGTCCTCTTCCCCGCCGTCACGGTTCTAACGTCTTCGAGCACGTTTTTACCCCCTCGGGCCCGAGTCACCTCCTCCGGCACGACACACTCCGCTCCTTGTGGCATTACTTCTACCGTTTCCATCCCCCAAGTTTGCAGGGACAAAACTTCATCTCCGTTTGTTATTTTTTCTAACCATATCTGTAATTCCTCTCCAGCCTCTGTCGCCTGTTTCAGCATTTGTTCGTTTGGTGACTCCTCCGTCGGCGGCCGCTCGTAAATGGGATCAAAGGAACCCTGTCTCGCAATTTCTTCTGAAAACACTGCTCCCTTTGCCCCCTTTTCGGTCGACAACCCCAGATCCTCTTCCTCTGGTTTCTTCTCTGTTGCTGATGTTGATTCTATCCCTGAGCATGTTGACCCCATTCCCAGAAAATCCTGGGAATAATGTAGGCCTGTCGCTGACAGGTCTTCCGTTTTGGCAGCCCTCGTCACTTCCGTGGGGTTCATAGTAACGACGACTCGTCAGCTGCTGAGGGGTTTTGTTTGGGGAAACTTTTGGTAAAAGGATCCATCAAACGAAGAATGGAGCAGTAGAATGAGTTGATTACAGCCATAAATTTGTGAGAGAGGAAATAATTAAGAAGAACGTTGATATTATTTCCAGACGGTAGATTCTGTCCGCATGGAACAGGTTGGATATCCTCGTCACGAGAAAAAGTGCGAGATTCACAATGTGAGACCGTTTGCATAGTATGTGTAGGTCTCAAAGCCAACACAGCCAACGTAAGCATTGTTTCAGATAAGATTCACGATATGAGACCGCCATGAGTAAAGCTACAAGGAAATTAGTCTTCGGTGAAAAAAAAAAAAAAAAAGAAACCAGTTGTGTTTGGTTTGTCCCATTATTATTTCACACCTTCAACCTCTCATTTATTTACAAAAATGGCAGATATGGGCTCCGTTCGCATTAGCGTTTCAAATCAGCTCCGCTTCTAATTATTATTTTTATAAATAAATTCTGTAACGACTTCTATTTCCTGTCTGTTAATGTTATGGGGGATGTTCTCACAACTTTGCAGGCTATAAAACAATTTGGAAATGGAAAAGTGTATGGTGAATCTTTACTATAAGAAATCTTGGTATATAGTTTGTTCATTCACTGAGAGCCTTTTTTTTTCCCTTTTGCACAAAAGTAGGTATAAAGTAGCCGAAGTAGAGGCTACTTCTGCTACTTTTAAACGAAAAGTTACGTTTGTTTCTCTGTAAAGACCATTTTCACTATTTTCTTAAATGATAATGTAGCTCCTATACGACATTCACACTTTCTAGATTTTTTCTTCCCCACCTTAAAAGCTTAGAAATAGAGCGGAAGTAGATAAAAATGGGTTCCATATGAAATTATAGATCTCAAAAGCAGATCAAATCCTAAAAATTAATTCTCTTCCAAGTAATTAAATCTCAAAGCAATATTCTCACTTCTTTCTTGAGAAAGGGTCCCTCACGCTTTGATGATTGTGTCTTTATGTTAGAATTATTTAATATGAAGCATTGCGTGATTTCTAATAGAGATAAAAATTTTATCTTTTTTTGTTTTTTTGTTTCTTTTTGTTTTTTTTTACATTTTCATCGGTGAGGCGGTGGTTCCCTGAGGTACCATTTGGCAAAGGGTTAACGAGACTTAACCCCTTCTTAACCTGTCAAATACAAAAAACTTATACAAAGGTTAAAGTGAGTTAACCATTCATAATTTGCAAAACACAAAAAATATAGAAGAGTTAAGCTTTGTTTTAAACAAATCCAAAAATCATCTTTTAAAGAACATTAAAAAAACAAAGATGCTAAAAGTTTTGTTCTTTAAAATTAAACTTGTTTTGGTACCCAAACACTCTTGGTACCGAAGAGTTTAGGGACATGACTCCTATCATTCAAGCTTAAAGCCCTTGGGTTATGATCCCATTTGGGCACATTTTGTGCACGTACACGGTCAAAATAATAATTGTGCAAATGATCCTTCTGATTGCAATACGTGTAATGAAAAGGATGAAATGATTTGAGTTGACCTTGTGGTTGTGCACGTGAATCATTTGCAAATAAAGATGGTCTTTTAGAAATATTTTACAAATGTGAAACTCTTTTTAAATCAAAATAAAATTTGGTCAAATGACCAAAATGACCACAATAATCGCATTTATACACAATAGTATGTTTGTGATGAACTTTATGAGCATGTGTATGTGTATGATGTGATAAAGCTTGATGGGATGCACAAGTATTATTTGTCTTAATGGGTTTACATGCATTATAACAAAATTTAGCAAGATGACATTTACGGTCGCAAATAGAGCACTTATAAATTTTGTTATACATGTGTGTATAGTGTATGAGAGTCTTGGAAGAATTTACACGGGACTTTGCATACAAGTCCATAAGCTTATTGTTATCTACAATGTATATTTTTAGTGTTGAATCTAAAGATGATATGCGATTTTTAACATGATTCAACTCATTTTCTTGCACAAAAGCATGTTATTAGAAGTAGAGCATATATGATTATTCTTAAAAGAATTAAATCCATTTCTAATGCTTTCCACTTCTAACATAGCATTGTTTTTCTCATGAGATAAACTAGTAATTTCAATTTTTAATTTTTCATTGCTTTCTTTAAGATTAACATTTTCATTTACAATGATATCAAATCTATAAGTTAGAGTGTCTCATGATCGGATTTCAAATTAACATGCTTGCTTTTAAGTCAACCAAATTATGATACAACTTTTTATAGGCATGTATTAATCTATCATATGCACATGCAAATTCATTAATGGATAATTCGCTTTCGGATTTCGAATCGCATACCTCACTAGGGCTATCGTCTAGTGGCAGTTTGCATGATAATGATGCTCCATTATTACTTGAAGTAGATTCTACCAAAGCGCGTTGAGTCTCCTCCAAGTTTTCTTGACATACTTCTATAAATTTTCATAATGTATAAGCACTATTAAAATGACCAAGTTTGTTAGAAATACAAGTATCAAAAGCATTAAGCAAAAATTTTGACAGAATCTTGTTCATTGTAAATAACTTTTTATCATTACTACTCCACTTAGATTTTTCTAAGGTGGGTACAATATAAGCATCGTTAATATTTTCCCATAAATCAAAATGTTTAGATCTAACAAAAGTTTAAATCTAACACACCATTGAGCATAAAGGATATTATCTAATCTTAGAGCAATATTAATGTCATAACCTAAATTAGGTGCACTATGCATATCCATGATATATTTATGCAAGCAAGATATAATAAATCTTAAAACTAGATTAGCAAAATCAAAGTGAGGATCTTTGACTCTAAGCGGTTAAGCCACAAATCAAAGAGCACCAAGCTCTGATACCAAATGAAAGTTCCCTAGAGGGGGTGAATAGGGTATTTGCTAATCTAATCCGATTTAATGTCAATTTAAAACTTGCTAACAATATATCCTAATAATGTGATAAACAATGGAATAAGTAAGGATATATAAACAAAAGGGAATATAAATATGAACACACAAATAAGAGAGATAGTGCGCAAATTGACAAACGCAAACACAATACAAATGATCACGGAGTTCGGTCGACCCACGACCTACGTCTCTGCTCCCCACCCTCGAGGAGAATCTCCACTATCTTATAAAAATACTACACAATCGGTTTTCAATACTCACCAATATAAGTTTACAACTCACACACTTGTAATCACACAATACACCCTCTAAGCGTTGGCCTCTCACGTGTCACCTTTCTCAAGTGCTTGGATTTACCACCTCTCCCTATGCTTTACAATCGACGCCGCTCCTCTTGGTATCAACCACGTCCCTCACCAACCACTTCTCTCGGTGTCATTGTGTATTACATTGTGTTCTCAACAATGAAAGCATAAATACAAAGTGTTTGTTCTCTAAACAAGATGAGGACACAATTAAGCTCACACTCAAGGAATCACTCACCACAAACCAAATTATACTTAATGTGAAAATACTAAAGGGTCAAGGATTGTGTGTGCATTCAATGAGTAATAATAAAACTAAACTCAATATAAAATCTAGCTTATTGAAGTGTTAATCAACAACAAATATATATAAAGCTGGAAATCAAGTTTAGTAAAACTTCTCTGAAAACAATAGTGAGAGAGAATGAGATTAAAGCTCAAACACCAAAGAAATGATCTCCTTCTCTTGTGAAAACTTCTTCACATAAACACACTTGAAAACAAACTTAAAACACTTAAACAAACTTGCTCAAAACTTGACTTTTATTTTTCTTAGTTAGTTCAGAAGTTTGTGGATAAGGGGTATATATAGGATCACAAAACAAAGCCCAAAAACCAAGAAATCCAAGCACAAAGACAAAAATCCAAAAAATTAGCAAACTGAAAAAACTAGCCGTTATAGGCCATCAGTCGACCGATATTGTTCATCAGTCGACTGATGAGATGACCTTTACAGGCCGCTTACCCTTCATCAGTCGACTGATGAACTGCTTCGGTCGACTGATGGTTCATCAATCGACTGAGCAGAAACTTTTAGACTCTCCAGCCACTTTCATCAGTTGACTGATGATCCTCATCAGTCGACTGATAACATGCACATGGTCTTTTAAAAACAGTAAATTTAAACTTTGAACCCCTTTAAAAAATAGCAAATAAATTCTAAAAATTATAAAACTTTGGAAAATGTTTATAAACATGAAAATAAACATGTTATAAAAATAAAATTTTAAATTGCATTTCGTATTTGTGAAAACTCATCATTTTGCAAAATTGGTCAAAATACGAAATCGTTAAAACTTGATTTTGATGAAATCAATACAAATAAGTTTTGAAACACTTTTTAATAGATTATTAGACTTGAGAAAAGATATAAAATAGTGTAAAAAAGTTTTTAATCCATAAACACATTATTTTGTAAATAAATATGATAAATATAAAACTAGCATGTGTGTTTGTAAATATAACTATTTGTTTCATATTTATTTGATTTAACTTGAAAGTGAAAATTTGAAAATGTGTATGTGTGTAATATTTGATCTTTGAGCATAAACACACAAAGTATAAGATCTAAACTAGAAACAATATACCCAAGCTAATAAATCTTCAATTAGTCTCGACAAGCGATATTGAATCTTGATTTGAATTACACATAGCTTAATTTCGATATCCACCAACCTCCTTTGAATGTCATCGTTAACCTCAATTCCAACCAACCTCCAACTAGGATCTTTGTGTAGGATACCTAACAATCAAATGTAAACACTCGACAAATATTGTTAGGAATTGTTTGTTAATCATCAAAACTAGATTAGATAGTAGACTTATAAACATGAGACCTAACATCTATGACTTCCAGTAGGCGAAGTCTAATCCGTCAAACTTCTCAATCTTTTATTTGTTTTCTTCTTTCATTGCTCTCACACAGATCTGATCTGAACTAAGCTCTGATATCGGTTGTTGGGGATTCGTCCTATCGACAACTTGTCAAGTGAACCATCTTGCGAAACGCGCCCTCCGGATCTTGTGTTGAAAGAAGGCAAGAAAAAATCACAACAAATAAAAAAACTTTGCAAGGAAAAAATAGAAGAGAGAACAACAAAATTTTAACGAGGTTCGGTAACTTGCCTACGTCCTCGGAGCCACACAAAAAAAATTCTTTTGAATATTAAAAAAGATTACAAAGCTTGCAAGAGATGATCTCAAACTCCTTGAGATCACTCA